CATGAATTAACCACTGCCATTTATGAGGGGACTCAATCCGAGCCTACTTGTCGTATTTGGCATTCAGCCATTTAAGCGTTTCCCCTTTTGACTGTCTAGATATTTCATAACTAGAATCTATGTTTCTATTACACCGGTTGATGGTTTTGGATTTTTTCAATATATTATAAATTCTCTTCCTTTTTATACCAACGGAGTCTTTGTTTAACATTACCGTGGCCAAATTGTCTTTACAAACAGTAAACATTTCAGGAAATATATTTACAGCTACAGCAACTTTCGTACTTTCTGTTAAGTTAACGTTTAGTCTAATATTCAACATGTTATCAGCTTTTGTTATTAGTTTAAGGAGCATCTGTATTGACATGTTTGATAGTTGTTTTACAAATGTGTATGTATTGGTGAATGTGTACTCGATCATCACTTATACACAGTAATTGATACAGATGACCCATTGCGTACACTTAATACGTTAGCAATTATAGCAAACAAGTAAAATGGTTTCCTGCGGGGAACATTTATAATGATTTAAAGATATTTCATTTAACTATTTTCAACATTGTTTGGGGAAAAAATAGAAAAAGAATTAACGTTTGCATCAGGAATATAGTTGACAATAATCGATCAATAGAACAAGGTCTTTGGTCTTGGTCGAAAATAAAACAATATTTCTGTTTAAGAAAATTAGTAAATACCATTGTATGAATAATTCCGTGCAAAAAATAATAAATTAAAATAAAGTAAACACACAAGTAAACGCAGAAAATATATCGATCTATTATGGCAGATGCCACAAACGAATGTTTTAATTCTGTGGGTTTTCACTATAAACACTTTATTGTTTGTAAAATTTCAGATAGATATTTAAGAAACATTGATAATTTTCAAACACATCATGCAAGTTTTTCCCACTTAAACGGTAAAATAATAATAGAAAATTAGAAATATCACGTAATAGTGTTATGTTCTTAATTAGGTGTAATTCGGACTAATTCCCTAGCATTGTGTGAGAGACCGGTGTGTATACAATGATTCCATAGAGGTAAATCCGTAACGTACCGGGAAACGGTATTTAGCTAGGTTTTCGAATAGGTCAATTAACCAATCATGTACGGTTTACAGATCACATGCTCCTCCATGTACCGAAAACAGGTCACGTGCTCCTCCATGCCTCAAAAATTAAACGCGTACCAATACCCTGCGGGCCGGAGCCCGCAGGGAATGGCTGCATGTCATGACATTTGAAAACTGTTCCTGGAATTTGTTTGTTTGTCATGTTTTGTCTTTGCATAATTATCTCAAGCAATATGCATAGCAGTAAACTGAATTGTTAAAACATAGATGGCCAAGTAGCAGTAGCATCAGGTAACTGTCAACATTGACATAAATATCTATACTTATAATAATGCATGTTTGCAACGTCGCTTTTAATTGGATAATCGTGACGTTTATATTATTAGTTATAAAGATTGTTGACAGGTTATATGGCCCTATATAAACGGCTGTTTGTAAATATGACCCGAGCCGCTAGGCGAGGGTTATATTGCAAACAGCCGTTTATATACGGTCATATAACCTGTCAACAATTTTTAAAACGAATTTATAATACAGCAAGCATCATTTTTCAGAGAAAAAAAGTAAGAATTATTCATGAATCAACAGCAGTCGTGTATATAAAACTATATAAACGTCACGATTATCCAATGAAAAGTGACGTTACAAACGTGCAGTATTATAAAGATTTATATACAGGACTGCTGTCAATTTATAAAGAAACCTTACCTTTTCTCTAAAAAAAGATGCTTGCTGTATTATCAATTCGTTATAAATAATAATATACATGAAATGAGAAACTGAAATTTGTAAAATGATTTTATACATCAATACCTTTATTCAGAAATAAAATAACACTAATATGTCAGGGAATTAATGGGCTGAGTGGATAATTATGGTTTTGTGGAAATGGAATTGGGAGAATATTGCAACTCTTGTTAAACTTATTGAAAAGCCTTTTACTAATCTGAGAAATTTCTCCTCCTACACAGTAATTGTCCAAGAATATCGGAGAGACATTGCAGTGATCTTGAAATCGTATTGTTAATGCGGAGTATGATCAGTACCAACGTTTAATGGACACTTTTACCGGAGACAAATAGGTTGTCATATAATTGAATGCTTAGTATACGAATGGTTACAGCAAATACAGACTATTTTGTCTCTTAGACAAACAGTTATTAGAAAAGGTCAGTTCGTTAGACAGTAATTGTAAGGGAAATCAGTGTTTTAGAAGATAAGTGATTTGCGTGTTTCCAAAGCTTCCTTTCGCTTTTATTGTGATTATTATAATTATACGTCATAGAAGTGTAGTGTCTTTAGTAAGAATCAAACAGTTATCTACATTATTATTGTTTTTAATACTGAGCATCACTTTTTTTAACATCTCACTAATCATTATAGCATTTTGGTCACATTTAAATTGAAAGTTTAAATATATGGAGCAATGAAAATTTACCTTAAAGGCTGTTACCGATAAAAAGACTAAAGACACCAACCAAGCAATTAACTATCTATGGTTTCACTACAGCTAGGACAGGAAGAAATTAAACAATCTAGTGCACAAATACCAACTGAACAATGTCAAATAAAATCAACAGCTAAACTCTTATTATTTGATTTGCAATAGATATGTTTCTGTAATAAGATCTAACGTTACAGGTTAACTGACAGACACAATTTCAATCTCCCAATATAAAATCAGATAAAATGTGGCCATGATTGAGGATAATTAGTTAACACAAAAAAATCGTAAGAAATTTTATTTGAGCATTCAGCTATATCGTAGAAATAAAATCGATTTTCGTATTAACTTGAAAGAGAGATTGGAGTAAAATATTAAAAATATAGCGTAAAACGGAATCTCTAACTCACTCCCAACCGCTAAAACTGAAAAGGTTCGAAGCTCGATTTGACTCAGCGTGTTCATGAACGGTAACGGTAATTGAAATTAAACTACCGTCCGAGTCCCCTAGCACTGACTTCAGTAGAATCCAATATTTGAACATGAAACTGGTGAAATTTTGAATCTAGAAACATCTACTGTGCATGTATATAAATTATTGAATCAGTCATTATATAATTGTTTAATCGGATTTTTAAAAGCCAGTCTAAAATGATCCTTTCCAACCGGTGGTATGCAAACTTATATGAATATTACGATTTTTCATTGACTATTTGTGATGAAAAAAACACCGTACTAAGAGCAGACAATATCATGGTAAAACATAATTGTTTGGGCAATTAATACAAATAAAATATCGATTTTGTGAAAAATGAAAAGTAAAGAGATGTGTAGACAAAGTATGAAAACATTATAACATAGTTATCTTCTAATCTAATGTATATTATTTTACAGTAGCTGGTCTTTATCTAACTAGGTTCTGAAGGAGGTACAAGTAAACATTTTGAGATAATAACGTTATTGTACAGCAAGTTTTATATACTTTGAGTTGAATTGAAAACGCAATAACAAGTTTCCACTTGTTCAAGGTTAATACATGAATACACAAGTTTATATAGCGTTATTGATTTTTCCAAGGATTAGACATCTCATAACCCAAATACATGTATGAATGTAGTTGAATGTTTTTTTTTTGTTGTTTTTTTTTCTCAAAGAAACTAGGTTATACAAAAACTCTCGGAAGCATTAAAAACAACACAAACACATTAAGAGAGTTGCAAATTCATCTAAATGCTTTTGGAAAGGTTCTTTCATACTGTTTCTGATGTACTATACAACTGTGGATAGATCTCATATAATTTATGTTTATAGATTTACAAAAATGTGAAGTCAGGTCTCAAAAGGTGACAATATTTCGTTAACATGTCTAGAAGATTGTCTATATAGGCATTAAACTGAGTTAGCTAAAGATGAAATAAGGCCTGAAGCAGATGTTACTGATCACGAAGAACTATGATAAGGTAGTAGAAGTAGAGAAGAGAGGGAAAACTTGTGTGATTGACGTAAAACAACAGCAACAAAAATATTTTATAATTTGTCAAGCAAGAAGATTGAACAAAGAGGCGGGGTATTGTGTTAAATATGACTTCATGTATTTACACGTTTGTGTGAAATGGATTTGTGTAATATATATAATTTAAGCGGTCATATCTGCTAAATATTGAATTGTTTACGAAGTTACGTTATTTGGAACCTAGTATAAAAGCAGGGTGGTATTTATTGAAGGGGATATCCGCAATATATAGTACTATATATATTGATATTTTTTTTAAATACAAGCTAGGTATTTTAAAACATTTAAGCATGCTGGTGTGACATTTGCAAGACCTTGACTCCTACATTCAATGTCAAGGTCACAATTTGAGGTCAAACATCGGCAGTTAGAAAACCTCGTCTCGCCCAAAACTCAATCATGGATAAAAAATCTTAAAATAAATTGGCACAAAGGGTAGTATGATGAGAGGGTGTGTCACGCACACAACCTAGTCCTTTAGCTTCCAGGTGAAAGTCACACACAGAGGTCAAATATCAGCAGTAAGAACATCTTGTCCGGCCAATAACTCATCATGTATCAAGGAAGGAAACAATTTTGCTCATATGTTGAGCATGCTGAGGTGACGTGCCATTTGCAATATTTGACTCAAAGGTCAATGTCACACTTAGAGGTCAAAGGACAGCAGAAATATCATTAAGAAATTATCGTCCGGTCGATAACTCTGTTATTCATCAAAGGATTTTAACTTGGCACAAGCGTATCATGATGAATCTAGATATCGCTATCATGCAAATCCTGTGTGTTGGGCAACCGTTTTGGTAGATCTAGTAACAGACTTAAAGTAAAGGATGAGAAAAGTTGTGTATATAAAAAAAGATATATCACTAGATCTAAAGACAATAATTGATTATTCCTGATATCATTCAAAGTTTTATTTATTGTGACTCTACCTCTATAGCTTTAGATAGAGCGTTATTATACAATTGTTATCTCCCTTTGAAAACATTTCGCCATTTGTGGTCATTAGCACTTGTAGGCTGTTATCCTGGATATGGAAACTTCTGAGCAAACAGTAAGACATAGAATCTACATTCTAAAGACGAAAGCCTCACATTCATGTGAAGTATAATAATGTTACGATGAAATATGAAATTTCGTAAACAAGTTCCTTTAGTTGACTCTATACTATTTATATAAATCCGTGGTTCAGAAACACTTGGAGAGTAGACCCGTTCCTCACAAGCACAAGTGTCTGTGGTTTGCGTTAACAATTCAAGTCACATTTAGAATTTCAATGAAAAAAAGTTTATTCACGAATGATTCCATATTTATAATAGTTCTCACTACCAGCGAAAGTGAAAGTATTAAATTGTTGTTTCCATGTGACCGCTATATTTGCCAAATGTACTGTACTGGCATGCGAGCAGTTCCCGTACAGAAGCAGTACCCGTATTTTTCATTTAAACGCTTGATTTTTGCTTGTATTCTTCAAAAATTCATTTCAAATCAAGCAGATACATAAACAAGACAAAATCTAAGTGTCAGTTTGGCAGTACGTATAAAAAGTCTCATTTTAAATCACTTTCACCTGTGCGTCGTCAAAACGTGACCTTGTTTTCTCTGGGGGATTCCGTCCTTTCGAACATGCGCAAAAATACTTACACGTGAGGCTTGTTAAAGGGTTTTCCACTAATACCACCTGTTTACAGATAAGTAGGCAATGTCATGAAAACTTGTTTAATTATCAGAATTTTGACCAATATTACTATATAAAATAATTTTATGGCTTTGATGCGTAAAATATCATGCATACAAGCATGTTATTGCATGTGAATGCGTTGGGGTAACGGTACCGGGTAATAGATACCCGCGTTTAGTCTACGCTCTATTTCCTGAATTACATCTATTTATCTCTTAGATAATGGTCTGTTCAACAATTGTAAATGAAAAATAGGTCCGATATAATAAAATTGTATAATTACAATTGGTTAGATTTTATGTACGGGAACTACTTCTCTTCATACAAAATAATGGATAATTTCGGTACCCCATTTGAGGCCTCATAAGTAAGGGTAATTCTATGTTTAGAACATAATGGAATTTCCATGATTTGTGTGACGAGCCGAATATTGATGTGTAAAATTCAAATTTTGGTGAGTGAGCGTAATAAAAAATAATGTTTAAGTAACTATGATTTTTGTACGGGAACTGCTCGCATGCCAGTAGTCATAATTTAAGTATTACAGCAGAGACATAGATAACATCTGTCTCTGATTACAGATATATATTATACAAATCATTTGTAGGTTTGAACAAGATAAAAAACTTTGATTTGCTATGTCAAACTTCTTAAGGTGATTCAGCCTTGTCAGCCATTCCACCATGTTTGTTTTCACTAAGTCAGGGTCCAAAGTGAAAGTTTGCCAAAATTCACATGATTGAACAAAACTCACAACGTAAAACGATGAACTAATTGCAATTACACTTCCAGTTCTATGTTTAAGGACTATTATAAACAAAAATAATAACAATAAGAATATTTACCTTGAATGTTCAAAATTTTTGAAGACCACATAAAATCTGTTACAATCATGAATGGTAAAATCCAGTTTAAAGTCTGTTTACATAACTGTTAAGGCAGATTTTGACAGAAATATGGCCCTTTTGTGCCCCCACTATGGGGGGCATTTAGATTTACCCTTGTCTGTTCGTCCGTCCGTCTGTTCCCTTTTTGAGTCGCACATAGCTCAAAAAGTAATTGACCTAGAGTCATGAAACCTTACAGAAATGTTGATCAGCATGTGAAGTTGTGCACCTGGGTATTTTCATGTGGATATATTTAGTATTTTTAGAGTAATTGCCCTTGACTTAGTAACAATTTGCAATTTTCAACTTGTGTCGCATGTAACTCAAAACATATTTGACCTAGAGTCATGAAACCGTACTGGAATGTTGATCAGCATATGTAGTTGTGCACCTGGGTATGTTTGTGTGGATATTTTGAGTATTTTTAGAGTAATTGCCCTTGACTTAGTAAAAATTTGCAATTTTCAACTTGTGTTGCACATAACTCAAAAAATATTTGACCTAGAGTCATGAAACCTTACAGGAATGTTGATCAGCATATGTAGTTGTGCACCTGGGTATTTTTTGTGGATATATTTAATATTTTTAGAGTACTTGCCCTTGACTTAGTGAAAATTTCCAATTTTCAACTTGTGTCGCACATAACTAAAAATGTATTTGACCTAGAGTCATGAAACCTTACAGAAATGTTGCTCAGCATGTGTAGTTGTGCACATGGTTGTGGATATTTTGAGTGTTTTTAGAGTTATTGCCCTTGACTTAGTAAAAATTTACAATATTTAGCTTGTGTTGCACATAACTCAAAAAGTTTATGACCTGTAGGCCTGAAAGTTTACAAGAATGTTGGTCAGCATGTGTACTTATGCACCTTGGGATTTTCTTGTGGATTTATTCAGTATTTGTAGTATTTGCCCTTTACTTAATAAAAGATTTTTAGTATTCAACTTGGGCACATGTAGCCAAAAAATAAATTTGACCTAGAGACATAAGATTGACAAATCGGTGGAGTGTTGGGGCACCCGTGTCCTAATATGGACACATTTCTAGTTTAACTTAGAAAATTTTACATTATTCAGGGTTTTGGTTTTACTATGAAACACTGAGAGCAGTCAAGACAGTTCTTCTTATCATAAGACGTAGGATATCAATTCATCAAATTTGCTTGAATATTTTTAATTACTTTTGTATATGTATTATGTACTTAAATTCACAGAAAGACAATGGAGGAAAACATGATTTTTATATGGACAGCCACGACCATCATAAGACATCAAGAAGAAGAATGAGACACATTGAAAAGAAGAGGCATAAAGGTTTTAGCATATAACTTATTTTTAAAGGGTTCATGTTTTGTTTATATTAGTGTCTATTATGATTTTTTTGTGATAACAATTGTTTAGCTGCAATGGGCAAAATGTACTCAGAGGTGAGTACTTGTGGTTAAATGATGTTTGTTGTCTGTTGGACATTGTTTGTCATCAGTCATTTACTAAAATAATAGCATCTGCCCCTTAATGACATATAAGATTTTGATCTACATTCTCAGTAAAGAATCTCAGATGACCCATCATGAAAGTTGTATGAATGTTTCCAGTTTAATGCATAAGTTAGTCATCTAAAAGTAGACTCGAAAATTACAGAACTCTAAGGTCATGATTGACCTACCCAAAGGTACATATGGTAAATAGACTGAACAGATCTAAAAAAATCTCTTCTCAAAAACTACATTAGTTGGCAAGTAATATGACATTATGTTTCTTTCCAGGGTAAAAATTGGCCCAACCTCTAGGGGTCCCTTATTCACATTTCACATACAAAACACATTGAAATATTCCTTTGTGAAATTATGTGTCTGAAGGCATAAATAGTTTCCATGCAGTGTTGCATAGTCACGGGGATGAAACACCATATGTTTCTCAAAATTTAGCATCGGTAAAGTATACCGTATAAGTACTTTTTTCTGCGGGCTTAATATTCTGCGATTTTTGTTAAAATAAAGGGTTTTAAATTTCTGCGTATCTTATTTCTGCGGTGTCATCATTCTGGCATTGATGCTTTTTATTTCTGCGTTTTAATTAATATATTTTTACAAAATAAACCGACACAATCAGACAACATTTCAAGATTTGTTGATGTAACATATACAATACTTCCGGTTAACATGTAATCATCATGTATCGGTATATATATGTTACTAAACGTGCAATGACAAAATTTTAGTACTGTACGTGTACATATATGAAGTGTGAATAATAAACAATGGCAAAATCGCACGTAGACACAAGATATTGTACAACTAGGTAAGGGTGAGCGAAAATCATACAAACATAATAATTATTTAAACAAAGTGAACAAGCAAAGTAACATTTATTTCTAACGGTACATGGTAATGTACTTATACAATACCGGTAGTTGACATATTCCGACATAAACATACGGAAAGGCTTAATTTTCTGCGGTTTTTAAATCTGCGGTGTTGTTAAAAACCGCAGAAATAGCAGAAATAAAGTTCTCGCAGAAAATAGTACTTATACCGTATATGTGAATTTCAGCTGATCCAGATGTGTACTATAACACCATATGTGAAAGAGAAAATATTTAAGTTTTCAATTGTTTTAACATTTATTTACAAATTTGAAGTTTTATATAAGGAAATTGGAATGTGAATCTACCCTCCTAAGACTATGCATGTTTATAACTATTTTTTGTTTTGGATTTTATGCAGTCTTCGTCGAGATATTCTTTCCGTCATACATTGTAGGTTCTGGTGTGTCCAAAATATGCAATGCGTATGAAGAAAATGTCATTTAACATACTCAAAATACAGTGTTTTTACGAAATCTTATCACCGAACGATGCTTTATATAAAAAAAAAACCTTATTTAAACATTTATTGTGATTTGGCTCAAAATAAAGGAATCGCAGGTCAAAATTTTAGTGTAGCTTCATTTATGCCGAAGAGATCCATAAGTGATATAGAAAAAAACATATCAAAACTATGTGTCACTTCCATATAAAGATTAAAGAGAAATCTTTAAAAAAAACAGTTATGGTTTTGTAGCTTTGGCTGAAAGAACATTAGTAAAATTTATATGTTTAATAATTAAATATAACTACATTAAAAGGCTAACTATATTGATGCAGTACTACTTATATAATTATTAATTTTCTTTTGATGATACGTAAGTTGGACAAGCCAAACGGTAATATATTAAGCAGCTGACATACGGAAGTGACCAAATTTTTGTAAAACTATCGTATCATATAATGTTTCCCAACGCATTATTTGCATTTATATGGGTATTTATCACTTCAAACCTCCACAAGTGAATTTAATAGATTTTCCTGTTGATTGTCATGAAGTGAAATGGTAAATAAAGAATAAAAAATTTCAATTTATTTCTAATTTTATCAGCAAACTGTAATTGTTTCATAATCATAAGTGTTTATAATCAGCGTATCGTTAAGATATTCTTTATTTTGTAGTGATTTGTATTGACATGGGTGAGCTGGATAGAAGTAACATGTTAAACTTGTCGATGTCATGTTTCCGTTATTTGCATAATTTACAAAATAAAGGTACTCTATGGCCGCATCAATCTGTTTGTTCTTATGTGTGGAAGGTTTTCTTCCTCTAACTACATTTATAACTCTACACCTGCATAAAAGACGGTATAGAAGCTTTCATACGTGTATGTACCTCATATATACGCCAAACAACGCACTTTCGCCCCCCCCTCTTTAAGGCCTCAAATAGTGAAAAAATGTCCTGTTTGGGCCCCAAACAATTGTTTTCGTTTGAGAAATGTTGTTAAAAAAAGTGACCACTTTTTCGGCGCGGCCCCCTAACCAAAAGATACATCAGGGGGTTGCGAGAAGGGATATGGGGTTTGAAGGGGGGCGGTAGTCCCCCTCATTGCCAGAAAATGTTTGGACCTGTGAGAGGCTATAAATGACCCCATATCGATCATAAGGTAACATGTAACCAACGCTGTAAAGCATTTGACTCTATCTCAAACCATTAAGAAGTTGCAGCACTTTGAAATCATTTTTGATGGAAAAAATCAACGCAAAAAAAGTGATTTTTGGCAATTTTGAGATGTCCCCTCGTTGCCATGGTAACAGGAAATTTAAGCCTGAGCATGTTGTTGCAAAGGCAATGGTCCAGTCAACATTTGTGCCAAGTTTGATTAGTATTGAAGCAGTTTTTAAAGTTTTATAGCAATTTGAACTTGTAACGGGAGACTTTTCAATGAAAACAACCATTTTTTTCACAAAATGCTTATGAAGTAATGGGTTAAAGTAAATGTGGACTTCCCACAATAGCTATAGTCATTATAATGAATATCTTTAGTATGCTGAATGTCTTTTATCTCTTTCTTAATTGATGGTGTTATTCAAACCTGACTTTGGAAAATCTGTCTATTTCGGATATAAGTTTTAATTACAGAATGATACACATAAGAATAAAACTTAGATTGCTTTATGGAATTTATCCATAATTATGTAGATGGTTTATGTTATTATCTTGCACCTATTGATCTTTTAGTACATTTGGAGCTTGAATGGAATTTTGACCGGCAATTCATTCACTTTGAGCCAAATCAATACATTGTCCATAAGAGTTTGTTTGAATGCTGAGTACCTCCGGTGATAAGATATTTTAAAAACTGTGTATTTCGAGTCCGTTTAGTGACATTTTCTTCCTACACATTGTATGTTTTCGTTACAAGAACCCGTGACAGAAAAACTATTTTGACGAATACTGCATAAAAATCGTGTACAAAAAGTGTATATATAGAGGGTAGTCACGAAGGTAGAACCACATTTCGATTTTCTTAAAAAAGGCTTTGTATTTCACATAAACGTTTAAAAAGTTCAACTGTTATTGACCTATTTTCTTTTTCATTTCTGGTGTTACAATGCCCATTTTTATCAGCAGAAATCCACATAAACTTTTTACCGATGCTCAATTTTGAGATCCATAGGTTATAAATAGGAGTCTTTGTGTACAAAACCTAATAATAAAAGTAAAGCACATTTAAATTATCTTCTTTGAAATTACATGTTCCGTTTACCAATGTCTATTAGACTTTTACAGAAGTAATATAAACTTGAGCATTTGGTAAAAGATGACCATGCTGGGGTCAATTTCATTACATTGACTATTTTTTGGAAACAGACCTTAAGAACCACTTCATTAAAATATACAATATAAAGAGCTGCGATGTTTGGCTTGTAGTATTATTTGTACCCTTTTTAGCTCGACTGTACGAAGTATTTGGAGAGCTGTCATACTCACCCCGGCTTTGGCTTCCGCGTCCAGATTTCAGATTAAAGTTTTGGTGCAGTAAAATATTTTTCACTTTAACTTTTTCATTTCTTAAGGTATCAACTTCAAACTTCAGATATATTTTCCTTATCATCAACCACATCTTATGTGACAAGCTTCATAACTCTAGCACTAATACTTTTAGATTTATCTCCCCTTGAACTTAGAATTTCCTGAAAAAAATATCATTTTTACTATAACTTCTTTATTTCTTAAGGGATCAACTTCATACTTCAAATATATGTTCCTTGTCATTAACCACATCTTTTGTGACTCTAGTACCAATATTGCATGAATTATCTCCCTGTTAACTTAGATTTTTTTTACTTGAAAAGTGTTAGTTTTACAGGTATCTACCTCAATCTTTAAATACATATTCCTTATCATCAACCAGATCTTATGTGACAAGGTTCATAACTCTTGAAGCAATATTTTCAGATTTATCTCCCTTTGAACTTAGAAATTTCTTTAAGAAGTATTATAACTTCTTTACTTTTTAAGCTATCGATTTCAAACTTCAAATATATATTTCTTATCATTACACACTTGTTGTGTTACAAGGTCCATAACTCTAGTGTGACTATTTCCAGAATTTTTCCCCCTTGAACTTGGAATTTATGTTAACAATAACTTCTTGTCATAAGAAGAAATATATTTATATCAAAATTGATTTTTATGCCCCCGCCATAACATGGTTAGGGCATATAGTGTTACCCTGTTCCGTCATTCCGTCATTCTGTAATTCCGTCATCATCAGTTTCCGTTCATTATCTTAGTAACTGTTGCACACATTCAACTTAAATAATTTTATGACATATGGATATATCATGAGAAAATACAGGTCAAGTTCAAATTTGGTCATGGTCCAAATATTTTTGACAGAGTTATGCCGTTGATGAAATTTTCAGTTTCCGTTCATTATCTCCCCCAACAGTTGTACACATTTGACTCAAATTTAGCATATGGAATGTGCAGGTCAATTTCGAATTTGGTCATGGTTAAATGATTTTTGGCAGAGCTATGACCCTTTCACTTTGAAAATAATATGAAATTTTCAGGTTCTGTTCATTATCTCCCCAACAGTTGTACATATTCATCTCAAATTTAAGATATGGATATGTCATAGGAATGCGCAGGTCAAGTTCGAATTTGGTCATGGTTCAATGATTTTTGGCAGAGTTATGACCCTTTCACTTTGAAAATAATATGAAATTTTCAGTTTCCATTTATTATCTCCCCAACAGCTGTACATATTCAACTCAAATTTAAGATATGGATATGCCAAACTAATGCACAGGTCAAGATTGCATTTATTTATGATTCAATGATTTTTGGCAGAGTAATGCCCCTTTCATTTGAAAATAATATGAAATTTCCAGTTTCGATTTATTTTCTCCCCAACTGTATTACACATTCATCTCAAATTTCACACATGGATACCTCATAGGTATGCGCAGATCAAGTTCGAATATGGTCATGGTTTGATGATTTTTGCCCCTTTAACTTTGAAAAAAAGAAAATTTTCTGTTCCCCGTCCATTATCTCCCCAATAGTTGTACATATTCAACTCAAATTTAATATATGGATATGTCATAAGAATACACTGGTCAAGTTCCAATTTGGTCATGGTTTAATGATACCTTACAGAGTTATCCCTCTTGAACTTTGAAAAAAGTCAGAAATTTTAAGTTTCTGTTCATTATCTCCCAAATGGTTGTACACATTTAACTCAAATTTGTCATATAGATACATCTTAGGAATAAGCAGTTCAAGTTTGAATTTGGTCATGGTTCAATGATTTTGGACAAAGTTATCTCTCTAAAATTGAATTAATGTTGGAAATTTTTTGAATTTTCAGTTTCAGCACTCATACTTTTGGTGGAAGTGAATATGAAGTCATTATTTTGGCTACAAATATGCAATTTACAAAAGGTTAAGACTGAATTGTTTCAGTGCATAGAACTTTGTATAAAATGGTTTGTGTTAACATTGAATAACTTTAACGGCTTTGAACTCAAAATGAAAAAAAAAAATAGTTTGTGCAAACAGATTTGGAACTAACTATTATAACATCTGAAGTTTTGGCTGCATGTGGGGGCATCCATGGCGTGACGACACATTTCTAGTTCTTTCATATTTTTGTCTTCCTTACTGTGTTCAGTATTTTTAAATTAGTCAAGCTTCGCTGTCTCCTTTGACAGCTCTTGTTCAAAAGTTAAAATCATATCCCTTAGTTGTAAAATGGTTCCATTGGAAATCATAGGAAAACATTTTTGAATAATCTTGTGTTAAAAAAAACAACATTGCTTAGATCTTAGGTATTAAGAATGTAGCATTGTTTAATGGATCTTCTTAAGGTACAGGAAACATTGTCATGGACAAAATGGCCACAACCGAATATTTCTACTGCATTGTATAAACATTATCTCATGTGAGCAATCTAGGGTCATCATGATCCTCTTTTCTTAAGAAACTGTGTGTTACAAATTTGATATTTATAAAATATTTAATTTTCATTTATTGATATGATATTAGTCCAAACATAAATCCGTGGTTCAAAGTAGATCTGCCTTAACAAACAGAGTATTGTGAATTTTCTGTCCCTAGCTTTATTATATCAATTGACATTACATAAAGATACTCATTTATATTACATGTATATAGGTAGTTTATTAAATATGGCAGTATGTCACTTCGTTGCATTTAAATGCCTAGTAAGTTCTCCATGAGATTTCACTTTAAAAACTGAAATAAATAGAGACGTCAAGTTTCATATGTTTCAATACAATTACAAGTCTCAAAGCTTTTCCATTTACTTGTTTGAGCAAGGCCTAGTTTTATTATGATGTACATGTGTATTTATTTAATCAGAAAATTCAGACAAAGAACTAAAGAATGAAAAATCGAAATCAAATGTATCGGGAGACTGTACAAATGTATCAGAGAAATGGGAAATCCCTTGGTTCAAGTCACAGAAATCTGGAATACACCCACATGATAAGTACTACTCCACAGTTAAATCAGATGAGCACAGAGATTTTGGAAAATGGCAAAAAGATAAATATATAAAACCTTGCGCTAGTAAATGGGAAATTTCTCAAATAACTGAATCTGAACGATACATTAAGTCAGTCAAGGCAGATGAGTTACAGAAATGGAGAGGAAATGTCTTTAAATTTGGAAGTTACCAAACAAAAGATATTGAGAGCAATGATGAAATTGAAAGACAACATAACCTTAGGTATATATGAATCCCTTATCAATTTTCATGTTAAGCCATGGTCTACCAAATATTTGTGGAAATAGGAGTTATATTATATTGCACATTGCAAAATTGCAAATACTTCTTTATTATTCATTTTCAAGCTAACTTGGGCACACAGAAATCAAAGGTGAACTTTTAGGATTAATGAGTTGTTTGTTGTCCGCAATTTGCAATTTACACTGTAAACGTTATCTGGTTTGTGTTGTTTCCCGTAGGTAAAATCGAAAAATTTGTTAGTCTATTTGTTTACTAATTAACAGATACATGATTAATTGAAAAATACTGGTACCAGTTTCATATACAGTTATAATTGTGTGATATGCAGAGAAAAGCCCCCCCCCCACGGAAAAATATTTGGAAAAGATAAATTTTGAATTTAAAACTTTGTTAGTCTATTTGTATACCAATGTTTGCATTCAGCTCTTGTACTTCAAAGGACATTTTTTATCATCTTTGTTTTAAGGTATTGAACTAAAATAACTTTTAAATGTAGATAAATAAAGGTGATGTGAACATATTAAGAAGATATTAAAATAGTGTATTGATACTATTTGTACTTTCAGGAAATCTTCAGATACAGTTCAATTAAGTGTTCAGGCTTCAGCAGGGACACCAGATGTTGACGAAATGCTTTCTCTAGATACAGAGATGATGCAATTACAAAGTACATCAGCAATTCTTAAGCCCATGAATATGGAAGAGCTTGACAAAGGACCAAGTAAATAATTTATTTAATTGCTTTTTATGTCCCACCACTTTGGTCTGATATAAGGCAATATTTTTCTTTATTATTAAGTCCATATGATCATACTTTTTAAGGCTTGTGGCATACACGGCTACTTATGTAACGCTCAAAAGTCTTTAATAAATCTGATGGCTCTTAAGGGAAAATAGTACTTAATATAAATGTTTGTATATTCTGTGAATGTATATGATTCGTACATTAAGAGCAGCAGATAAATTATTATCCTACATGCAATCTATGAAGAGTTAAACAATTTGCAGACTAGTTCTGTGCTACTTGCAAAGTTCATCCCTTAATCAATAATGGCTCATATGTCCATGTTTTAAGTAAGACCCATGCAAGATTTGAAATATAGGAATGAAGTGTTTAAGAAAAAATATACACAGGTGTGCTTTTATGATAGCATGGTTTTGCATTGTTATCCATAATTTCAACACCAGCTTAGCAACTTGGTAGATTTTAAAAAAAATTAACAGGAATACTTGTAAGGAGTAAGGATTGAAAAGATATATTAAAGATAAGTCTGAGGACACAGGAGCTGAAATTATACTAAGAAATATATTTATTTTTTTAATAGATATTTTGTATGCATCATCACCTGGTAATCTTCCAAAAAGTGTATTGATTTATGCCCCTTGGGTTAAAATTGGACCAGTCCTGGGTTCATTCGAGTACATAATAGGAAGATTTGTAAACATAAAACACATTATCTTTTTTGAAAACTGTATGGCACAGAGCTTAGGTATATAATCATTACAATATAAATATAATCTAGTTGACCTGTTCGTAAGATATACTCATGCTGCAAGGATAAAAAATAGCCCGCACTTATGTAACTTGTTATATCCACTTATAATAAAATATGCCTCTCTTTAGTTTATATTACATATTTTAAAATCATTTCTGGGATTAACGGGGTTAGAAAAGCTTGGCCACAATGAAACACAATTAAAATATGATCATTTCTTGCAATGGATCTTAGTTGATGATGTTTGGTGATCATGACACCCATGTTTTATTTGGAATAACTGTTTACAGGTTTTAAGAGTGACCTACATAGTGCATCAGATGTTGTAGCTGATGTTGTATGTACGCCATGTGAAGTTGATGGGACGAGAGAAGAAGCACAACAATTTTGTTCCACATGCCAGGAGTATCTGTGTTCAACATGTGCAAGATGTCATCAACGAATGAAGGCAACAAAAGAGCATAAACTTACCAACCTACCAAATGGAAGTAAAAGGGCTGCAGAAAAGTATGTAAAGTGTTGGTTCCACCCTGATAGAAATATCGAGATGTATTGTACAACACATGACATGGTGTATTGCGTAAGATGCATAGCAACAGAACATAGGTAAATTTTATATAAATAAAAGAGCATATTAGATATTTTAAGATGAAACTGATTCGCTGTCACAATAACTCTTTGATGTATTGGTTAAGTGGCTTATCATACAAATGGATTGATAAATGATTTGTATTGATGTTTCAAAAAAAAAATGCAATATGCATGCAGTGCCGGATAGTAATTGTTGGTCACTTTGAAAGACCTCCTTAATGCCATGAACTTTATGCATCCCCCTCAAAAACAAAGCAAATAGGGAAGGTATAAAGAATTTTTTTTGCAGCATCCACCTTTCCATTCCTTTATCAACACTTTGTGTCTGGTCTATAATTTTGTCATTTATGGATTGATTTTGAAATAATTTTGTATAGATTTGACAGGCATTGAAATGAATGTGCAAGATCACAATACAAATTTTTCATAAGTTGTGTCCGGTGAACAATTACGTCATTCCTGAATGAAGTTAAAAAAATGACTTAAGCTTAAGTGTGTTTTGTATGAGTACAATGTGTTGTATCCAAGAATCAAGTATTCAGCCCAAATGTCAAGTTCAAGCTTGTACTCAAAAGTCATAATATGAATTTTTGATATAAGTGCATCCATGATTGTATCATGTCAACATTTCTGTCACTCTTGGATGGATAATTATGTTAGATTTAATGATTAAGTATCGGGTACAGTAAGGTCGCCAGCTTTAAGGTCACACATGTATATCACTTATCGTGGTTATGAATAGATGGTCTTGTGTTTATGCATAACATTTTTATTCTTGAATGGATCTTGAAGTATTATGTATAGATATGATGTCTATTAAGATGGCATATAAACACGATAAAAAAAAGGATCAAGGTCATACATGAATATCATACTTTATAATGTCTAGTCTATAGTTTTTTCCTTTATTGACAGATTTCATATTATATTGGTTTAAATATGTTGTATTTTAAAGCATTTTGTGTTGAGTGGAAAGTAGTTCTTTTCTCCTCTCAGGTGAATAAAAATATGATTATCACCACCACCTGTTTGTACAGCGGTGTTCAATTTATGGGTCACTTTGTTTTTAGTGACATTCCTTTCCAGAATGAGATTCTCGACAGTGTTAATATGAATTTCAAAATTTAGTGTTATTACAATAAATATGTTTATCAGTAAAAATAATTTATCATATGAAACTATATATTAGATAGGTAAACTTTTTTCTTTCATTGTGAATTAAATTGTTCGGTGAGTTGGTCCATAATGGAAGGTTTGTAAATTATTATGTTGGAAGTATTTAGTGCTATATGTGACAGCAAAGCAAAAAAGAATTCCATACATGAATGAATGTTGATGTGTGCGATAAATCTTCAGATATGACATATCCATCTAAAGCAGATGTTAACTTGTTCTTGAATAAAATATTAATATTCATCATGCATATGCTCATACTAATTTTAAATCACTAAGAACTCGATTCACATTGTCTTTCAAAGAAAAATTCATAACAATATACAAATGGTACATTTTTATTGCTTTTATCAGTATTTGAAATACTTACAAAAAAACATACCAAGTGTAGACCGATAACATGTTTCCAACGTAAATGTTATCAAATTCATGTTGGTAACATGAAAAAATAAGATTTAATTAGGGATGTTGAAAATGTTTGTCATGTCATGTAAAATTTACAAAAATGTCAAATGTTTTACAGATCATGTGAAGGAGTGACTGATGTTGAAAATGTCGCAAGCAAGGGAAGTAGTATCCGCCATGTGCAAACTTTGCAACACGAATCAAAGTTGATGTATGATCAGCTGGTTGCTTGTGATAAGAAAAAAGAGAAATATCTCAAATCTACTAAAGACCTTAGTTTAAGTATTACGTCCAAAATTAATGAAACCAAACAAAAGATGATACAACATTTTGAAAGTTTGGAGAGAAATGCAATAAGAGCTCTGCAAAAGGCACAGGCTGACATAGAAAGTGACATTGAAGCTGAAAAGAGTAATATTAGTAAAATGATTGAGACAATGGGGGATAGAAATCAGAAATTGGAAAATACATGCCAAATGGGAAATGCTCAAAGATTTATCCAAGTAAAGCTGAGTAAAATGGCCATAAGTAATGCAAGGCAGTTGTTTGACTTAGCTGAATCAAAATCTGAAAAAGTTATCGACTATACAGAAAATGATGAACTGATCAAATCGATCTTGACAGGAGAAAATCTGTATGCAATTTCCATACATGAACAAGAAAAATCCTGAAAATGTTGTGCTCATGGCTAAGCTTTTTGGATCAACTGATAGCTTGTGTACGGCGTCAATTCTTCCTTGATGTTAACACACTATGTCACAATTTTGAACTGGTCTTTATTTTACATTGTTTAAATGATTCCCTCATTAATGTCTTGGAACAAATTGAAAACAACCAGGTGAAATCGAAAGAAAATTTTGTTTTTCACACTAGAACCATATATTTGATTGGATTTTCATTAAACTTTGTAAGAATGTTTTCTTTTACGATACCTTGTTTTACGATACACCACGTTTTTATGTGATTTATGTGAATAAAACTTGATCAGATTGTCCAAAGCCTTTCAAATTCTGTTTCTATGATATAACCTGGATTGTCTTGACTTGATAATTGTAAGATTATGATTGCATATGCGTTATCTTTGATTAAAACCTAAGTCACTGGTCAATATCAAAGAAAAACAATGTTTGTACTCTGTAAAGGTCAGAGGTGCGTTTCATAATGAATCTTAGGACCGATTTTAGTCGTAAGTGCAAAACTGTGATAAAACTGCGTTTCAAGAAAAGTCCTAAGTACAATTTTAACACTAAACTTAGGACTATTCCTACTAAGGCACTCCTAACTTTTCACTTAAGTTATAAATACAAAAACAAGTGCTGAAAAAACATAGATATATACGTATAAATGGAAGGCATAGGTGAAGAAAAAGTTATTAATCCCTGTAATGTTAAATAAATTTTTGTCGGTTATTATTACACTGATGATGTCTGATCTAATATGAATTATGATAAGTTGTGGTTATGTGTATATGATTTAATTAAATACTTTTAAGGTAATAAAACTATTGTTAGAATAAACACGTTCTTTTTTGCTTACCAGTGTAATGATATGTTTTATTAGTGAAAGAAATTCCGTACCACTCATAGTATATGTACAAAATACACAGTGGGAAATGATAAGGGTATGTTAAAAGTAAAGCCTGGCAGTCAATATGGAACTGGTAAAGTGTTAGCAATGAAGCAATATAAACGCGGTTTTATCACAGTTTTGCACTTAGGACTTAAATCGGTCCTTAGATTCTTTATGAAACGCACCTCTGACCTTTATAGAGTACAAACACTGTTTTACTTTGATATTGACAAGTGACTTAGGTTTTAATAAAAAAGTAACGCATATGCAATCATAATAAATTATCTTACAATGGTAGTAAACTCGTGAATACAAGCTATTATATTTTCACGTTTGGCGTAGCCATCTGGTGTCCACCCAGTGAAATATATTTCGTTCTTACATGCAAAGCAATTATCCTCTTTATAGCACAAAATATACAAAAATATTACGAAACGAAACATTTTCATTGTCTGGAAAATTAGGTTATATAACTTATTTCTTTAATAGGTTCAATTTTCTTAAATAAACGTTCAGACTTTATAGGCAAAATGACAATAATCTAATATAAATAACCATAATTAGGATAACAATATAACCGTTATTTAGATAACGGTAATGTATTAAAATAGGCATTATTATCTATGTGGAATATATCAGATTTAAGTAAATTAGGTACAGCAGAAAAGTGTCTAGTATATAGAATGTCTGATATGTGGAATATACAGTAGTTATCATTGTATGTCTTGTCAGAACAGAATGTATGAACCGAATTATGTAAAATATATAGATATATAAATGTACAGAAATGTTGTCATATCGTGCATATGTCCTATTATGTAATTGTTGAAATTGTAATTTTTTAAGTCGCCAGTAAATGATTTGCGAATTAAGATCAGTTAGACATATATTTTTTTCAAATGACTGCAGAAAAAATCATATTGATGATTAGTGGATCTCTATTCTATCAAACTATATTGTATGATTTCCTTCAAAGCACAAGTAATATAAATATGCCGTTGTATACGTTAATCAATACATTGTTTATATATGATAAAAAAAGGTACAGCTAATTTAATATTAGTTTAAAAGACATAGCATTTTTGACACTTTGGACGGGCTACTAGAGTTTGTTTTCTAATTTGCGTCTTCGTTATATATTTGGTACTTTTAAACTAATAAAAGTGTAAGTATATATGCACTTTATCTAACTTTCTTGATATACGAGACAAGACACTGTTGAATCCTTATATTCAGACATATTTGTAAAAAATTAATCCTTATATGGCTTTTAAGTAAACCATTATTTCTGGACACCATTTGGCATAATATTAACACTTTACAAATATTATTCAAGTGCAATGACAAATATCTATAAATATAAACCTATGGTACCTCTGCAGACTTTCAAAACAGTAGTTACAACTGCTACAAATCTGTTTTAAAGTTCATAAAGCTATATATCTGATACAAAAATTATTGTTTGGATTTTATCCAAAGAATACTGTCAAAATGCTTGTATAAAATAAATATGGTAATTTATTGCCTTAAAGCGAGCGGAGCATGCACAAAATCATTGCAAAACAAATTAGAAAACGCTACTTAAAATAGCAAAAATAATATTTTTTTCCGGAACATTTTATTCTGTTTTTGTACAATATTCATGTGTGTTTATTAACAGGGACATTCAATGTTACAGCATTTTCGGGAATCAACCATATATTAATGGAACCAATATAATTTTACTGTTGATAAATTTTATAAAAAAAATATTTCATAAGATATAGATTTATACCATTAAATTACAGTGTAAAGAACAAAAGATGTATTTGTTTCGGCTCGTTTTGTAAATCCTATCTAAATAAAAAAACAGAAAACATATTCCGACTTCTGTTTTATAAAGTTATGTCATTTAATTAATATCATGTTCATATTTAACAGATTAAAGTTATTGCAAATTGCAAACAGCTTGAAATAACATACAACAATTCTCGAGATTATTTTCAGCTAAATTTCTTTGCAAATGTTGTTCTGCTTTATGTAACAATGATGTTTTGAAACAGCAATACTTTTGGAAATCTTCCAAGGCCATTATCAATTTATATATACTGTGTTGTCCCAAAAAAATCATATATTCTATTTATTTAAAAATACCGACCATTTTAAATTCTTCATATTATAATGGCACGAAGAGAAATAAGCTGTAAGACATTAATTAAATCAGTGTCTACATTGACACTGCGGTATACCGTACCCCGGATATTGCTCGATATTATGAGGACTTTTATCCCATTTCGCGACTTTGAACGGAGAACGAAGGTAAGTTCAACGACGATATTTTCCAAACTAATGGCTATTTCATTTATTTCAACGGGTTTTATATATCTAGAGGTATTTTTGTAGCTCTAAAAGACGTAAAAGTATTACAGGTATTAGTAAAATTGATTAAACTACCTCTAAACGATCTGCTGTTCACTAGGAAATACTGACCGCGATACTGTAGAATCGTTAGAAATTATTATATTACCAATATAAAAAAAATTGAATCGAGCAAATTTTTTATTCACAATCCAAGTATGCTTTGTCCAAATTTCAGGCAAAAAGTGTGAAAGTACAAAAAGATACAGGTCAAAAAAGATACAGGAAAGTGTACCGAGTATTGATTTTAAGTGTACAGAGTATTGCAAAATAGCCCAACTTTAGTGTACAGTGTATTGCAAAACAAAATGAGCACATTAGTATGGAAAATCGATATTTTGTCTAATTTTCACGTCTGTTTATCGATTCCATTACATTCTGCTGATAATGCACTGTTTAAATATGATATTTATTCAAATATTCAGAATCAACAATGCATTTTCAGTGTTATAACTGTTCTTTTCCTACGGGCAAATACAGAGATTTAATTTAATTTTCCATTTGATTGAAAATCACACTATGGATGAAATAAAGTGTGTGCAGGGTCGGAAGCAGGGTCAGGAGCAGGGTAGAACCATCAAAATTGTCGATAAAAATCTTTAAATGCATGTCTCAAGAGAGACCCATCTCTGAAAAGAAGGAGAAGAAAAAAATATTTAGATGACATTTATAATAGGTTTTTACAGGGCAAGTTTGCTTTAAGAAACATATCGACACACTTAGTAAAATATTGGCCCGAGGGCTTATGCCGTACAAGAATGCCGGTATTGTCTAACCTTTTACTACATGAGCATATTGCGAAAAAGCCTGTTTTCATTGATTTAAGCCTCTTGTTACAAGTTCAAACGGCTATAAAACTATAAAAAAAATGCTTCAATACTAATGAAACTGGGCACAAATGTTGGCTTAGCCTGTGGAACACCATGCTCAATTTTAAATTTCCAGTTACCATGACAACGGGGGGACGTCTCAAAATTGCCAACAATCTCTATTTTGCGTTGTTTTTTCCCCATCAAAACTGATTTCAAGGTGCAGCAATTTCTCAATTGATTGAGATTAAGTCGGAGATTTTCGGCGTTGATTACACGGTACATTTAAATCGACCTGGGGCCATTTTAGCCCCCCCCCCCCCCTCCACAAGTCCCAAATCTTCTCGGCGATAAGAGGGGCTACTGTCCCACTTCAAACCCCCAAACAGAAGGAGGCACCCCCCCCCCCCCTTGGCACCCCTTTGATATACCTTTTAAACGAGGGGCGCCGAAAAAGTGATCACTCTTTTGAACAACATTTCTCAAATTCAAAATTTCTAAATAGCGCATGTTTTACACTATTTGAGGCCTCAAAAGGGATGGGGTGTAAAGCCTTAAAATATGATAAACAAGATCAACAAGGAAAGGTGGCGTTCAATGAACGCAACCCCCCTACAACCCAGCAACACGAACCAGTGGCAAGGAGCCCAGGCGGGCCCCAAACAAAAACAGGACAGCACAAGACAGCCCTAAATCACGCCTTTCTGAGGTAAAAGGTAATAAGGAACATATCCTTCTTATTGCATTTGCTGCCCTTTATCATAATCTTATCAAAATCCATTATTCGATTTTTGAGATGTACCCGCTCGGCAGTCATAGGGTAACTCATTGCTAATGACGTAACATTTCACGTGCAGACAGTCTGCCGTTGCTAGAGTGAAGGTACAAAAGACCGAAAGTTACCTTTATATCGTGTTTTGGCAGAGTAGGAAGTCGGTTGATATTAGATATTGGCACACCTGCTCAATACCATCTAATATTGACAATCTTGAGGCAGCATTAATGCACTTTATATGCATTTTTTTACCATTTAAAGTAAGATATGCAATAATTATTAACAAATTCTGGAAAGGTTGATCCTTCGGTAGCAACGAGAACTTTGTAAACACAGAAAATTGCTGAGTTCGTTCGACTGAGATTTTTCATGAGCAGGTGTGACGATTGTTCTCTTCAGCCTAGATTCTTTAATGATATTTAGTGGTTTGATACCTAAATTATCGGTA